ACATACCACACACACACACACACACACACACACACACACACACACACACATTGACTACATAAGAAAACGGATGTGTTAAATAACTAGACTGCACTTATCGTTCTCCATGCAGGCTTTTTGCTTTAAAGAAATCTTAGTGTTTAATTGCCAAAGGAAAAAAGACCCACAAGTTAAGAATATTAAGATAAACGGTTAGATTTAGGCTATTCCCCAAACCAACGATAGATGTCCTTATAGGAGACAGGAGAGGAGGATGGAGATAGAGGTGGGGAGAAGGCTCAGTGAAGACACAGCAGGATGGAGTGATGCAGCCATGGCCAGGGAGCACCTGGATCTACCAGACCTGGGAGATGCTGAAGGACTGGTTCTTCTGTAGAGCCTAGAGAAAGTGTGGCCCTGCTGATGTCTTCATTTTCAATTTAGGAATTTTGGTCTCCAAAGCTGTATGGGAATGAGTGCCTGTTATGTTACCAAATTTGTGATAGCCTTTTTCAGCAGCCTAGGAAGTGCATAAACAACCAGATCCAATGCCATAAGCCACTGTTTCATCATGCCACTGAGGTGCCTACAGCAAGGACATGGGGATAGGAGAAAGAATAGCCCATGGTTGCTCTGGGCCTCAGTCAGAACGCAGGGGTGCTTCCTTCCAATCTTGCTGTTCTCAAGTCATAGTTAACATGAATGTGTGTTTTGTGGTTAGGTGCCGGCTGGACAGGTTCCTGCTGTATTAGGTTATTATGCCCTCATTGTCAAGGGTTCCAAAGCTGTAACATTTTAAGGGATCTGGTATAGTATTTAGGGTGGGGGATCAGCTCCTATAGGTTTTCCATCTGTGTCATTGTAGGTGGGTTCACTCATGTCCTCTGTCTTTGATTTGTCTTGTTTCTTGTGTATGTGTGTATTGCGTATGGTGTATATATACATGGGTGTATATATTTGTGTGTGTGTGTGTGTGTGTGTGTTGCATGTGTGGAGGCTAAAGGTTGACATGCAGTACCTTCCTTGGTTGCTCTCCACCTTATGCTTTGAGATGGGGTCTCTCACTGAACCTGGAGCTCAATGATTGGGCTAGGCTGGTTGACTCGCAAGCTTCAGAGATCCACCTGTCTCTGCTTTGCTGGTCTGCATTCCAGATATGCATCGCCGTGCTAAGCTTTCTTTTTTTCTAAAATGTGGACCTGGGGATCCTAACTCAGCTTCTCATGCTTGCATGACAAACACCTCATTAACTGAGCCATCTCCTCAAGACTTACTGCTCATGATGCGTTCTAAAGGGCTTTAAAATTTAGGATCACTAGGAAGTGAAACCTTTCCTAAAATAGAAAATCTTAATCCTGGCTTTTTCAAATATTTGACTGAGGGCCATAGCACAGGTTAATGTCTGCTGGTGCATTTGAACTTGGGCAGGAAGTAGCTGTCATGTGCACACCTCAAGCTGGCAGACTATGGACCTCAGATATTAGTGGCCAAGCTTTAACGAAATGTTTATTTTAGATGTGTGTTCTCTCCTCCTGCACCAAAAGCTTGTTTTCTCACAGGCTTCCTCTGGCTGGCTGCCTTGCAGATGTGTGGCTGGCAGGGATCTGTACTTTGGGGCGAAGGCTGTTATATCTTTTGCCCCAGATGCTCTTTAAGACATTAGCGTTTGCTCTTCTTGGCAGACACAGTGATGCCCATCACAGTCTCTGGGCTTTGATGTTTCCTGTTTGTACTCTTCTCTGACTTGTGAGACTTGTATTAGCTTGAAGGGAGCTGCTTTATCCAAGACAAACTCATAAGTGCTGTGATTGGTGCTCATGATTGGTGTGGCTTTTTGCTCCTCAGAAGGGATGACCTCAGTGGACCCTCATTTTGCTATAATACTCGATGTTCCCTACAAGATCAATTTTCTAGTCTAGACTTGAGTGACTGGATGAGGCGGATCCCAGGCTCAAGAGATGTGGGTCGGGCTCCTCTATTCACAGATTGCTGGTAGCTGGATGTAATCCACATTCTCATATTATCCTGTAGAACACTTGGTTTTTCTTCAGACTTAAGAACAGACATCAGTTTGTTTTGGAAACAGAAGAGCTTGGTTTGAATCTCCCTTAAGCAGCTGAATGACTCTAGTGTGGTGTGTTCATACAGCAAGCAGCAAAGCCCCGTCACAGCATTCTCAGGGGATCTGCTCTGTGAGACAGCCTGAGTTTTCTTGATTGGAAGAGCAGAGACCACAATTGCACAGAGCAAGTGGTTGTAAACTTAGTAGTTAAAAAAGATAGAGATAGCATCGTGCCTTCTCCAGGGGCTGAATATGAGGGTGTTCGGAACAGGGAATTGTCTCAATTTTTGATTGGGTATCAATTCAGCTTCTAAGAGGAAAATCTGTATGAGGGAGATGTTGGAGATAACAAATCACGGTCCTGTCAAGCTATAACGAAACCGCTGTCCTCCCAAAGTAGTGGGAGTCGAGACCTCCTTCCCACCTCTGGTGAGAGCCATAGCATCCAGGTGTCAGCATGTGAGCCACTTGCGGCCACTGCTCCTATCCATAGTCAGTCCCTCTGTACTGGAACATCAGGATGCCCATCCATCCACTTGTTGTATGGTGGCTTTCCCTTTACAGTGGAAGAGCTGAATAACTGTGAAAGGGACGTAAGGCCCATGGAATTGTAGTTATGATCTGCCCTTTGTGGAGAAAGACCAGCAGCCTTGCTGGTACCAATACTGCACAGCAGCAGTATCATCACAAAACATTACTAAGGCAGGATACCTATGACTGCAGAGAAAGGGAGGTAGAGGCCAGAGGAATCGTGGGGTTGAGGGCAGTCTAGACTGCATAGTGAAACTCTTACCTTAAATTGGCTGGGTTGGTTAGGGTTTTTTTTTGTTGTTGTTAACTTGACACAAGCTAGGGTCACCTGGGAGGAGAGGACCTCATTTGAGAAAATGCCTCTACAAGATTGGCCTGTAGGCAAGTCTGTGGGAGCAGTTTCTTGACTAATGATTGATGTGGGAGAGCCCAGTCCGCTGTGGGCAGTGCCATCCCTGGGCTAGTGGTCCTGGGTGCTATAAGAAAACAGGCTGAGCAAGCCATGTGGAACAAGCCCGTAAGCGGTGTTCCTCCATGGCTTCTGATTCAGTTCCCGGCTCCAGGATCCTGCCTTGAGTTTCTTCCCTGGCTTCCTCAGTGATGGACTGTGATGTGGAAGTATGAGCCAACTAAACTATTCTTCTCCAAGTTGCTTTTAGTCCTGGGTGTTTATCACAGCC